ATGATGGTATGGTGGTGATGATGATGGTGATGGTGATGATAACAGTTCTCATTCACTTACCTGATTTTATTCAACATTGCGTCTTTGTTCAGCTCATGACTTTTACTGTTAAAAAGCCCGTGTTATTGTTCCAGGAGTGACACATGGAAAAAGCTCAGTACTTGTTAGTTGTAGTTATTTATTATTATTATTATTATTGTTATTATTAAATCTTCACAAGAGTCCTAAAAAGCTCTATTATTAATCTCATTTTATAGATTAAAAATCTAACTGAGAGAAGCCACCAGAAAACAGGCTGATCCTAAGTGGAAGAACTACATTTTCACCAAAATCAGTCCTTCAGATATCATCTTTTTTGCCATATCTTTGTGACTCTACTTTTAAATGGACTCACTTTTCATTTTCACTTAAATAAATTGTAAACAGAAATATTATCACACTATGTTAAATGAGAATTCATTATCACCTGCCATAAATAGAAAGTAGAAACAAATATTACATAAGCACAATAATGTCATTAGATTCTAATTAAATACGGTTACCTGTGAGCCTGAAGTCTGCTCTCTCTTTGTTAAGAAGGGAGATTAGCAAATATTAGAGAGAGGTGTTAAAGGCTATTATCACTGAATGAGCCTTTCTTCTTCCTGTGCTGGGGATTGAGAGTGAACTGAATAGGAGATGTCTCTCTAGGTAGGTGAGGTCCTGTCCCCTCTTGCTCTACTCCACGCCTGCTCTCTCAACACTTGCAATTGTAGTGACCTTTCTGGCCTCGATGAGCTGGAAGAAGTCATAAAGGAAATTGGCAATTGATATTTCTGAAAAGAAGAGTGGTTAATGGATGCTGGCTGGACTCTCTAAATCCTGCCTCGCCTAGGGGGGATATTTGCAGGTGCAGCTGAGATGCATGCTGCTGGTGCAATCCAGGTGGGCACACAGGGAGCTTTGCCAGGAAAAGCATCTTCTACTATCAGCTCCCCGAAGGCTGGCCGGTGCACAAAATCCAATCCCATGGATTCTTCTATCTTTGCTTAGACATGGGTGGTGACCAAACTGTCTTCCCAGGGGAGGTCAAGAACCCTGAGTTGGCACCTGTGGCATGGAGAAAAGGAACTGGGCAATAATATGGGTGTTGGCCCAAATCGGATCTGGGTCCAATTCCTGTTTCTGCTGTTCCTACTTTGTTGCACAAAGTCAGATGCACAGCCTTTTTGAGATCATTTCTGGTGTGTGCTTTTGGTTGTCAGCCATTTTTCCAGTTGCTAGGGAGAAACAGGTCCCCATGGCAGGTGGGCCCACAGTTCCTGCCTTCCTGCCCCATTTCCCTTCCTCACTGCCCTCCTGGCCCTTCCTGGATTCACCTCCTGCATGAACCCTTTGCCCTTGAACACTTAACTCAGCATCTGCACTCCTGCTAAGGTGTTACGTCTAAGAGAGCCCCTGAGGCTGCAGGGACCTAGGATGACCATGTTAGCAAGGTTTGGTTGGATCTTCCCTTATTATGGAGGCCAAGGGAAGGCTCTCTAAAAAGAAGACAACAGCCTGGCACGCTGCTCTTTCTCTGTCTCTTCTATTTCCTAGGAACCATTTGCATGTCTGAGATGAAGCCAGCCTCCAGCCAATATGCCAGGAAGGGCGGGGCTGAGTCAGTAATTCTCTCAGTGGCAGAATGGGTGT